CATTGTTTCTCTCCAGCTGCTCTAAAGTTTTCTTTGTGTTGAGTTGTCAAAGTCTGTTTATGATGTGTCTTAGAGTGTATTTCTTTGGGTTTATTCTGTTTGGGGTCCACCCAGCTTTTTGAATCTGTAAGTTTATATACCATTTGCTAAATTTTTAGCCATTATTTCTTTCTTTGAGTTCTTTTTCAGCCCCTCCCTCTTTCTTCTTCTGGGACTCTGATGACATGAATTTTAGATCTTTTGTTATAGTCTCATGGTTCTCTGAGGCCTTGTTTATTTTTATTTTTTTTTAGTCTGTTTTCTCTGTTCTTCAGATTGGATAATTTCTTTTGCTGTATTCTTTGAGTTCACTGATTTCCTTTTGTTCTTCTCCATTCTGCTATCAAGTTTTTACTTTTGATTATTGCATTTTTCAGTTCTGAAATTTCTCTCTCTTTTTTTTTTACTGCTGGCCTGGTACAGGGATTGAACCTTGGTCTTGGTATTATCAGCACCACACTGTAACCAACTGAGCTAACCAGTCAGTTCTTTGTTGAGACTTTTTTATCAGCACCGCACTCTACCTTTTTTTTTTTTTTTTTAAAAGGATGACCGGTAAGGGGATCTCAACCCTTGGCTTGGTGTTGTCAGCACCACGCTCAGCCAGTGAGCAAACCGGCCATCCCTATATAGGATCCGAACCCGCGGCCTTGGTGTTATCAGCACCGCACTCTACCTTTTTTTTTTTTTTAAAAGGATGACCGGTAAGGGGATCTCAACCCTTGGCTTGGTGTTGTCAGCACCACGCTCAGCCAGTGAGCAAACCGGCCATCCCTATATAGGATCCGAACCCGCGGCCTTGGTGTTATCAGCACCGCACTCTACCGAGTGAGCCACAGGCCGGCCCTGTTGAGACTTTTTTAGTTTTCATTTGTTTCAAGCATGTTTATAGTTGCTTGTGGAAGCTTTTTTTTGGGGGGGGGCAGTTGGCTGGTTTTGTGATCTGAACCTTTGACTTTGGTATTATCAGCACCATGTTCTAACCAAGTGAGCTAACTGGCCAGCCCATGGAAGCATTTTGATGATGGCTATTTTAGAACTTTTGTCAGATAATTTTTTTTTTTGGTGGCTGGCCAAGTACAGGGTTCTGGACCTGTGACCTTGGTTTTATAAGGCTGTGCTATAACCAACTGAGCTAACTGGCCAGCCCCAGTCAGATAATTCTTTTTTTTTTTTTTTTCCTTTTTGTCTTTTTTACTGACCTGTAACGGGATCACAACCCTCGGTGTTGCGCCCGCACCGCGCTCAGCCAGTGAGCAGGAACCGGTCTCCACATGGGATCCGAACCCTTGGCAGGAGAGCCGCCGCGCTCCCAAGCAGCGCACTCTCCAGTGCGCCACCGGGCCAGCCTGCCAGTCAGATAATTCTAACATCTGTGTTATCTTGGTGTTGGCGTCTATAGATTGTCTTTTTTTTTTTTTGAAAGATGATCAGTAAGGGGATCTTAACCCTTGGCTTGGTGGTTTCAGCACCGTGCTCCCCCAGTGAGCTAACCAGCCAGCCCTATATGGGATCCAAACCCGTGGCCTTGGTGTTATCAGCACCACACTCTCCCGAGTGAGCCACGGGCCAGCCCTAGAAATATTCTTTTTAACCAAAAATCAAAACACTTGGACCTTTTGGACAGCCAAAGCTTTCGTGAAAGAGACAATTGAATGTTTCTACCAAATGATGTGCTGTTCTTAACGTGGACTTAGTGTCAGAGAACTCTAGAATTGGATCATAAGACCTAATGTTGACTGTCTAGCAGTTTTGTTTCTATATTCAATTCCTTCTTATGACATTCTATAAGAGAAAAAAGTGAAGGACAGGCTGTTTCCCACAATCAGAACCGTAAGTCCATGGGGCCAGCCCGTGGCTCACTCGGGAGAGTGTGATGCTGATAACACTAAGGCCATGGGTTCGGATCCCATATAGGGGTGGTCGGTTGGCTCACAGGGTGAGCGTGGTGCTGACAGCACCAAGTCAAGGGTTAAGATCCCCTTACTGGTCATCTTCAAAAAAAAAAGAACTGTAAGTCCAGTGTCAGCTCTGTGTCTCTGTCAGAGTGTGGACAGCAAACAGCTGTCCTGGCCATTCCTGGGTGGAGGCAGGGGGTGTTGAGCCACCTGTTGTGGGCAGCTTTTCTGATGAGTCATCCTAAGGGAAGTTTGAAACTCTCTAGCTATCCTGGTAACTGTGCTGGGATAGCCAAACATCATGATTTATTCACAGTATCATATGGAAAGGACCACTTTGGGAAGAACTGATGAAAGGCGTGTCTTATGGTTGTCAGTGTAGTGCTTGTTAGTTGGGCTGCTGCAGCAACTGAATAGTTAATAAGGTGATGCTGCTGTGTTCTAGAAGAAAAACCCAACTCAGAGGCGATTGTATGTTTCATGCCATCTAGATAATAATGACAGTAGAGAGGAAAAAATGAATCTTTTCCTTTGGATCTGTATAATTAAAAGTTAGCAGCAGAAGCAGCAGCAGTAGTATTTTTTGCCATCAATGTTAGGACTGTTTGTCTGCCTTAAATTTATTTAGCGGAAAGAATTGGATTATAGGGCCGGCCTGTGGCTCCCTTGGGAGAGTGCGGTGCTGATAACACCAAGGACATGGGTTCGGATCCCATATAGGGATGGCCAGTTGGCTCATTGGGTGAGCGTGGTGCTGACAACACCAAGTCAAGGGTTAAGATTCCCTTACCGGTCATCTTTTAAAAAAATTGTTTTTTGGATATTTAGTTGGAGAAAGAACTACTGAATTAACTTAAACCTTTTGATTTCTAAAGTAAAAGGAAATCCAGAGGTTAAGATTGCATTCTCTAGTAATATCTAGAATATATTGCCTGTTGGCCTTTAATTTGTAAGGAGCAGGTTATTGTTTTTTAGTTTGTTTTTAAAGCATCTGTTCTGCTTTTCCCTTTTACTGACCTTTTATGTTTTATTTTTTACCTTTTCTTATCAACGGAGCAGGCCAGAGGAGAGCACTGGCACTCTGAGCCCTCTGTGCCAATCTCTTACGTATATTCTGAGCATACGTGGGCCAAGAGGAAGGCTCTAATAAACAATATAGAAGATTTTTTAATGTAATATTTATTTCTGAGTGGTTCATAGCATGTTTCACCGCTTGGATTTTTTTCAGGTAGGTGTGGACATGGGGTGTATTTCCAGCTTTACAACCAGGGCATCTGCTTCAAGGCAAATTCATGAATAACCAAGTATTAGACCAGCAAGCACGTGTTTTTCACCAGCAGCATCCTCCTGAAACCTTCCTCCTCTGCCTTGATGGCCCTTTCACCCTCCTCTGTGACTCTGGCGCTTTGGCCCTGAGGCCCAGGCTCTCCTCCTAGGGCCCCATTTACTGGGACTGGCTGCCCTTTGGCAGCTGGGGTTGTTGAGAGGAAAACAGCACAGTCATCTTCTCCCCCTCCTGAAAGAGAGCCACTGCTTAGAGGCAGGCAGGACTCCTGAAGGAGGCTGGAAGTGGTTCAGGACCCTCTCAGAACAGTCTGATTGTTCCAAACTCCTTCGTGTTTGGTGGATACATAACTTCTTTTATAAAGTGGCTATTTTTGATAGTTATAAATTAGATTAAGCAAATTGGTAGATATTTCAAGATGTTTCTCTTTCCACCTGTCCTGGATGCCCCTCCCTCCCGCCCACTAGATACAAGTTGCTGAAGGGCCAGGCAGCATGTTGTAGAGCAGGAAAGTCAGCTTGGTATCCTGGCTCAGCTACTAGTAGCTCTGTGACCTTGGGTGAAATTTAAGAGGATGGAAACTCGTGCTGACGCCTGCCATGTAGGGAATGTGTGGACTTGCTCACTATCTAGGGCACGGGGTGGGCAGGAGTTAGGGAAACTGCTGCACATGCTCCCTTACTTAAACCTGCCTCCCTGTGGTTCGTGAAAGGTGGCTGGGCGCCACAGGTGCCCTGGACCCTGGACACAGCCCTTCTGTTCTGGCTCTTCCCACCTCTGTCTTTCCTCCCATGGCCCTTCCAGAAGCAGTGCATTGTCCTCCCTCCTTCATCCTTCCCTCCCTGAGACGCCCCCACCTGGATGGAGCCCCTCCTCCAAGGGGGTTTTGATGACACGTTCTGTGCCTCTCAAGTACTCAATGCTTTCTTTGTAATATTTTTTGTTTTTGTTTCTCTCCTGCTCAAGGATAACTTACTTGAGGGTAAGCAAACTATTTTTCTAATTTTTTTGTAAAATTTTCTGGAATACTGTGAGTACAGAAGGTGCTCAGTAGTTTTTGGATGGATAAGAAAATGTCTTTCTCATTCTGCAATTTATTCTCTGTTTGTTTGCTTCATTTTTTTGTGGTAAGGGGATCTGAACCCTTGACCTTGGCATCATAACACCATGCTCTAACCACTGAGCAACCGGCCCGCCCTTCTATAACTAATTCTTTTTTTTTTTTTTTTTGTCTTTTTTCGTGTCCGGCAACGGACCGCAACCCTCAGTGTCGCGCCCGTACTGGACCGGGACCGGCAACGGGATCACAACCCTCGGTGCTGCGCCCGCCCCTCGCTCAGCCAGTGAGCGGGAACCGGTCTGTATGTGGGATCCGAACCCTCGGCAGGAGCGCCGCTGCGCTTCCAAGCGGCGCACTATAGCAGTGCGCCACCGGGCCGGCCCTACAACTAATTCTAATCCCAATCCTAAATTAATCCTTATTGCCTTTTTTGCAATTGTTTTATGTAGTGTATAAACTTGAACATCGTATGTCTTTCATTGTCTTAGCCCTCAAACAAGATTTGAACTTTTAAGTGAATGTGTGTCCATTTGACAGAGTCACGGCTCTTTCGGCTCTCTTGTGCTCTCAGGCACTAAGCAGATGGCACACTGTTGTGAGTGCATTTACAGACCAGGATCTTTCTCCTCAACAATCAGTTGGGCATTTTTTTTTCTAGTAGGCTTATCTCCTAAAATGCTTTTTTTTTAACTTTTCTTTTTTGCTTTTTTTTTTACAGGCAGTCGTGAAAGACTTCAGGACAAAAAATGTTTCATTTAAGGACTTGTGCTGCTAAGTTGAGGCCGTTGACGGCTTCCCAGACTGTTAAGACATTTTCACAAAACAGACCAGCAGCAGCTAGGACATTTCAGCAGATTCGGTGCTATTCTGCACCTGTTGCTGCTGAACCCTTTCTGAGTGGGACTAGTTCGAACTATGTGGAGGAGATGTACTGTGCTTGGCTGGAAAACCCCAAAAGTGTACATAAGGTAAGGCTCGCAGGGCCGTGGGTCCTTCTTGCGTTGGGGTGTTGGTCTGCTGCTGATTGACCACCCAGGTAAGTGCGTGCATCTGGAGGAGTCGACGGGCATGCAGGTGCTATAACCCCGCACCAACCACCGCATCATCTGCATCAGACCCAGCATGGCCCCAGCAGAAGCCTCAGTCCCTTTGCTTCATGTCCAGCAACAGATACCACGTTTAACCCTGTGAGGCTGTGAGCAAGCACGAGTGTGACCAGGATCTCCCCAAGGGCTGCTTCAGGATGGAGCCTCTGAAGAAAGAAGAAAGAGTGTGGACGAGAACAGGGCCTCACGAAGTTCCTTCATCCTGCTGTCCTGAGAGGACGCTTTTATACATGACATGCCTTAAAGTCATCTTGTGTAATTTTTGTGTAGATGGCCTTTTAGGTCATTATGTTCCTATTTTTCTCCTGTTTCTTTCTACTTTCTCTGTATTACCTATAGTGCCACTTCTTTCTTAGACCCCTTTTTGCACACGTTTGCTGATGTAAGTCATGCCTAGTGACGGAATTTCTTTATTCTATTTTTGGCCAATGGATAGGTGTTGATAACCATTTCTTGATTTTTGGATAAGGCAGCCAGCCTAACTCAGGAGTTGGAAGGTAGGGCAATGTGGTAGTAAGAGGGCGGACCTGGGTTCCTGACCTCCTGTACGTCACCCGTAGGGTTGCTGGGAGAGTTGGAGATGATAAGGGCAGGGCGCTCGGAGTCCGCATACAGGGAGTGCTCAGTCAACGCTGTTTATCCTCATTATGAATTTGGCATTTTTCCTACACTTCAGTCTTGGGGTCTTATCACCAAAGGGCATCCTGCTTCCAAAGGGCCCCTGTGAATAAGCTTTACCTGTAAGTGTTAGTGACATGTAAGAATGAATACATTCATGCAACTGCTGGGCCAACAGGTCCATCAGGAATGCCACCTCTTGGTCTCAGCTTCATTGCCCAGCAGTTGAGGGGTTCTAGCCCAGTCCTTCCCCATATCCATGACACCCTGGGAGCCAAGTGGCTTCCTGAGCAAGATGAGACCTGGTTTCCTGTAAGAGATCTGTAGTTTATTTCCCTAGTCTGTATATAAATTGACTGCCAAGAAAGAAGGGCCCTGTAAAAATGGCCCCTGCCTTTGTTATGTTGGATGTTTCTGAAGACAACAGCTGCAGATTATCTCTGGAATAAAACTTAGTCCAGAGGTTTCAGAATCAAAGACTGTTATCTTGTGCCCAGGCCTATCCCTTTGCCTTTCTTTTTCTCAAACATAACCTTTTTGTGGAACCAACCAAGTCATTTTCTGTTGGATTTAGAGACAGTAGCTGCTGAATGACAATGCCTTGTGCCTGAAAGGTGAGGAGCACCTGGCTCAGGACTGCCTATGCTTGTGAATGCTTGGTCCTGTGAGTGGATTGTAGGTAGGAGGCGGACACCATGAGCTGTGTGCCTGTAGTACTGTGGACACTGGGCTGACACTAGCACAGCTGCTCCTGTTGCAAGCTTCTGAAGAGGGTTTTATTGGGGGCATGATGATTTTGTGTTCCCTAGACTGAAGGATGTACAAATAACTCTGGTTCTCCTTAAAAAGTCTCCCTACCACATGGTATCAAAGAAGGCAGCACATGATGGCTGGAGGGCCCTTGCAAGGGGTGTGAGCTGGGAGGGGTGGTTGTGTCACTTGCCCTGTCCCCAGGGTGAGGCAGGAGCACTGGGCTTCTACCAGCTAGAGCCGAGGGTACCTCCACAGATGCAGCTGCTGGGGAAGAATCCCACACATTGGGATTTGAGTCCTTGGGCTCTACAGGTCACAGTGACCACATCCTGGAGAGGTTCTGCAGGGAGTAAGTAGAGAGTCTCAGAAAGGGACTTTTAGTGTATTCAGAAACTGCATGCAAGGGTATTTGGGGCAGATTTTATGCTTGTTTCTGTTGCTGAGAGCCTCCAAGGGGTACAGCGTTGGAATCACACGTGTGCCCTGCCCCTCCCAGCTTGTAGAAGGGAGGCGGCAGGATGGCTAAATCAGTGGACATGCCCTCCTGTGATTCTGGTTGTCGTCCAGCAGGGACTTCATTCCTCCACTGCCATCCCAGACAGCGAGGTGGGTCCTCTTCAAGTTGAATTAGGCCCAATACATGATGTGTGCACATTTTTCAAGGGATATGATCCATAACTTCTGTCAGATTTTCAAAGGCATCTATGACCCATGAAAGGTTAGGACCCAGAGCCTTAGAAATAGTTCACTTTATTAAGAATGCTTGATTTGTGCTCTTGTTTTAGAACACAGACTGTAAGTAGAGATAATAAAATTAGAAGTGCTGTAAGATTTATTTTTCATTTTCAGAGAGCTTACAAGGGGCTGCTAGGACTCAACTTTTTGTATCCAGCAGAAACAGAACAAACTCAGCGTCTCCCCCTCCTGCCCTCCAACCCTGCTTTCCTGTTAATCACTTCTTAAGCTTTTTATTGTGGTGTTTTCAAGTATACACAACAGTAGAGAGAAGAGTAGAAAGTGAACCTTGTGAGGAGAACCATCACCTAGCTTTGACAGCTGTCTACATTTTGCTGATCTTTTAAAAAACTTTTCCCTGGTGATTTGTTTTGGGTGTGGGGAGACCCCACTGGAGTATTTCAGGGCAAATCCTAGAGCTGTATCATTTCTGGCATAAATGCACTGGTGTGACTAGCTGAAAAGGAAATGTTTTCATAACCTCACCTGAAAAGATGAACAGGATAATTCTCTGATAGAATGTAATTCTCAGTCTGTATTCAAATACGTTTGTTTTTATACTTTAGAGTTGGTTGTTATATCCCTATTTTATTATTTATTTATTTATTTATTTTTTTAAAGATGACCGGTAAGGGGATCTTAACCCCTGACTTGGTCAGCACCACGTTCTGCCTCTGCACCGGGCCCATGTGTCCCTCTCCTCCTTTGTGCTCCTAAGTTTGGTCCCCTCCTAGGCTGCTGTCTCTGTTCTAGTCTGGCATCTGTGCTGCTCACTGAGCCTTCCTTTGGTGGTGGCCTGTACTGTCAGCATGTTAGGGACACCCTGAGTGGTGACATCTTGTTTTTATTTGTGTCTTAAAAACACAGTCAAACTAAGTTATCCTCATTAATGTTTAATACAAACAGGCAATTGAGAACTGCTAGGCCCCCGTCAGTCTGGACGTTGGCCTCGTTTTGTAGTGACAGGTGCCAACCACAAGTGTAGTGTGGCATCTGGTTCCTCCTGATGCGTCCTGCAGGTTTTGGCCCTGCTGAGGAGGATCCAGGGTCTGATCCCGAGGGGTGGCTGGAGCTAGGGCTACAGTCCTCCTCCTTTCTCGGCCCGCCTGGCTGCTTACCTTTCCCAGGGCTTGCCCTGTGCCTTTGTGCCTTCTTGTTTGACCTCTGTCCACTTCTTATATCCTCCTTCCTGTTCATGTTATTGATGTCCATGTCTTGCTTTGTTATGTTATTTTTTTGGCAGCTGACCAGTTTGAGGGTCCAAACCCTTGACTTCAGTGGGATGCCCATTTCTTGTGGGTCTTTTCTTCTGTGCCTTTCACGTGGCAGCTCCTGAAGTGTGATAAGAACTTGGGTGCACATGTGGTTGCTGCAGTGGGGCTCTTCACTCGGGGCAGGGGCAGGGGCAGTGACAGGCTTCAGTCTCACCACTGAGTCTGGCCTCTCTGCTCTCTGGCAGGGGCATGCTTCCTCCTTCCATGCCCATGAAGCACAGTCCTGTTATTTTCTGTGAGTGAACCAGCCAAGTGGAGGAAAAATACAAACACACACACTGTCCCTGAGCAGGGTAACATGGGTCTTTTCAGTCTGCAGCATTGAAGCTGCTTTGGCTGTGCTTTGAAGAATAGGACCGTGCTATGCTCGGTTCCATCCTGGTGTGCGGCTCCTCCCATGGTGCCTGGCCTAGTGCAGTGGCTTCCCATGGGTCACGTGGAGGCCTGATGTGCTCATGTGATGAGGAGCAGCTGTGGTGAAAAATCTGTAGAACACTTTGATGCTGCTTAAGTGGTTTATTTCTGGACGGAATTCACCAGGCATTTTAGGAATGACAGAGCTTGGTGCTTGGAATAAATTTTTGAGTATTTTAATCTTACATGTAGTTGATTTATGAAAAACCACATGTAATAATGTAATGTACATGATGTCCATGGCCTACTTGAGTGGGTTTCAGTGATCCGGGCTTTGAAGTTGCACCTCGATGATCTTTAGCTTCTTGTGTCAGGAGCAGTCTCAGCAGTAGTGGCTTTTTGTGTTAAATCAAGTGTACTTCCTTAACGTGAGCACAGTGTTTTACACTTGAGGGGTTTGCATTTATGGTTGAGTTAGGGAGATAAAATTAACCCCTTCGAAAATGACAAGAAACATGAAGCAGCGCCTCCACTTGTATTGTAGGAGAGTCAGCAGCTTGTGGCATCTGTGCACCAGCGGCACTTCGAGAGGGAAGTCAGTTCTGCCCTGTCATGCTGGCAGGATGGTTAGGTAAGTTAAAATGCAGAGAGAGGACTGGCTGGTTCACTCAGTTGGCTAGAGCGTGGTGCTGATAATACTAAGGTCCAGGGTTTGTTTGATCCCTGTACCAGCCAGCTGCCCCCACAAAATGTGGAGAGAATCCACCAAGCTTCTTTTTATTTTTTAGCGGCTGGTTGGTATGGGGCCCAAACTCTTGACCTTGGTGTTGTGGCACTGTGCTCTAACCCCCAAGCTTCTGAAGGGAAGTGCCAGTTATGTGAGCTGTGAAGGGTAAGGAGGAGCCAGGGCACATGTCTGTGCTCAGCGAAGAGCAGAGATGGTGAGGGAGCCCACTGGGACCTCATCATCACTCGGCAGGGTGATGCATGTGGGCTCAGAGCCAGGAGCCAAAGGTAGCAAGAAAAGACCGCAAGTTTGGATTGTGAAGTAAATGGAGAGGTTCTAAGATCAAGCCAAGGGACATCTGTTTATTTTGTTCCATGCTGTGGAGGCGTGGACCGCTCAGC